GAGCCCAAGAACGCCAATTTAAGTAAGTCACGAGATCAGAATCGAAGGCACATCTACCGTATCCAAAACTGAAGGCTATAAAACTAAGGCCCATTTTGATTGTTTTCCAAAATTGTTTCTACTGTTTTTATAACCCTTATTTGCAGGCAGGATGTTGATAATTTGTGGGTGCAATCAGACAATTAGATGTCTAAATCCCAAATTCATCAAATTGCATAATTGCAAATGCCTGTCAAGGCATATCAGCTTACAGGAATAGGATTGCAGTGGCCTAAAATATGTCTTCAAATGTAATAATGCAGAAGGTTGGGCCTTTATTTCCAGTATATGGAAATATATAGTTTTATTATGTGAAACTGTTAATTTTGCATTTGCCCCAGATTCTGAAGTGCTACTGCAATGTTTATTTACTTTTTTATAGAAATATATTTTTTTATGTGCAGCTCAGTGTTGATAAAAACTGTTATTGTAAGTTGCTTGAAAAAAAATCTGGCAGCAACTGGGAGCTCATAAATATCACAGCTAGTTCTGAGTATTAGACAATAACTATTCAGTTGAAAATGCAGAGAAAATCCTGAATGCTGTCCAAAGAGTAGTGGTGTCTGGAAAAATTAACAGGTTAACACTGAATGTTAACTTAATGTGTATTTTCTGTATTTTGCTCCAAAGATTTGAGATGAGATCTGGATTTGGATTGAAATGTTTGAGATCCATTTAATACTATACTCAAAAATGATTAACATTTTTGAGTATTCCACATTTTAATGTGGAATATTATGTGGAAAATTACATTCCACATTTTAATGTGGAATAAAAAGTTCCTATCCTTCCTTCTTTTATTTATTATAAACAGAGAACTTTTGAGGCATAAGAGAGGCATTCATACAGGAATTCAAGGAATCTTCTTAGCGAAGGAGGAAGTCAAAAATTGAAATACCAGAAGTAAAGAGGAGCTTGATTAATTGAACACTGAAGAAAGCAAGCTGGTCCCCACTTTGAGCCTTTTCCTCCAGTCTCTGAAAGAAGATGAAATCCAGAAATTTAGAAGCAAATAGAAAGAGTCATCAGTGCAAGTATCCAACTGAGGCCCAAAGTTCTCTGAATCGGTTGTTCAGCTGCATCCCTATGAAAGGTTCTTGGGGAACTAGCATGACTATAGCCTGTTGCTCAAGACCAGACAGTACCTCTCTATCTCTGGAGGGATGTGGAGAAAATATGCCTTAAGATACAAACTGTTCTGTATGCTTTTATTAAAAGCAGTTCCTGCTGCAACACTTTAAGTGCTGCTTTCTTTTTTTGGTTTTGTATAACATTTTTCTGGCTCCTCACTTACAAGCAAGGTTTAGTGAGGCGATAAAATGAGAATGGGAGGAAAACATGTACCATCTTTTCAGATAATCCTAATCATTCTACCTCTCAAACAGAGAAGTGTCATCCCTTTTGGTGGAAATATTCATACGGAGCAGGTTCTGCACAGAAGAAGCTGTTGGGTGTAACATGAGAAGCAAGAACTAACCTAATCCAGTTTAGTGCATATGCCATTATAACAGGTTATTTCAACAATTGATTTACTTTAAATGCCTTTACTACCCACTTTTCAGCATAATTGTATAATTTGAAAATAACGTGATCCTTGTCAGAACATTTACCTCTTCTCATTCCCTCTAGGCAAAACGTAAATAAATAGGCTGACCACTTAAGCCTAAAATCCTAACCCTATGGAAGTCGTTAGAAATTCCATCACTGATGTCAGCTTGGTCAGGATTACAGGAAAGATTCTCAAAACTCAGCAGAGCTGAGAGAAACAGAAGACCCATCAATATGATTAATTCTCAAAATGGAGTTCTTTAGAACCACTTTGTAAAACTGTCTTACCATTACACTGAAAAAAGTACATATAGTTGCAAATAACCAATAATTGTAGCATAGGTTCTGAGATCTAGCTCTCTTAATTACATCATTTTTCATTTCCTTTTTGTTCTTTTTTCTTCTCTGTATTTCATATGGGTCCATGAAACTATTTTTGATATTTCAGGATTTTTTTTAATTTTTTTTTTCTTCTCCTTTGTGAATTTGAAGGCTAATTCAAATGAATTGTATTCACTGGGGTAACACAGTATCAGCATATTTCTGAGCAAGTTGAAGCAGGACTCTCACAAACACTTGAGATGGAAAATGTCTTCTGCTGAAACTTCAACTTCTAAAATCATATGACTTTTCTAACTTGAGAACGAAAGGAATCAGGTACTTTCTGCTCTTACTCAACATTAGGTTCTCTGATAGTATGACTTCCTCATTGTCAAACGGACAAAAAACAAAAGAGTCAACACAACAGACACACTAAGTCTTTCCAGAAAAGTATTTCCTGTTTCTGATCCCAGTTCAGGTTCTTCCTGGCAGTTAACCAAAAAAAAAAAAAAAAAGTATATTCATGAAATCCCTTGCAGTTAGGTTGGAACTCTTCTTTGGGAAGTTATTCAGATTCAGTCTCCCTGCCAGAACCCCTGTCCTGAAGGATTTCCACATCTGTAACTCCTTCTGAAACAAATCTTTTCTCCTAGTAGGCATTGGCTGTCACTTTTGTTTTGGAAATGCTGCTGTTCCTTGGGCATCTCCAGGTGTCATTTTTGCCCCAACAGAGGGTGACAGAGTGAGCTGGCGACACCTGAGTTGGTGTCTGAATACATCCAAAACTACTCTTCTAGGAATAGAAGTACATTCCACTGTGAGCCAAAGGATTTTCCTGGCTAACGCTGGCCACCAGAATATACACTTCCTTGTAAGTTCTCCTGTAATAACACATTCCATGCTGGCCCAAACGTCTAAATGAAGGTGAACCTTGTAAGTCATTTGATACACTGGAAAATAGGGTTTGAGCGTTGTGAGAGCGTTTGGGAATCCAGGTTTTAAGGACTGTTACAACAGTAGCATGACTTGGTGTTTTCTCAAACCCCAAATCACTTTGAAAGCAAGTCAGATTAAGCCGAACGTAAAATAAAGAGCTCCTTTACAGTATCTAAGAATGGTCATGATAGTTGCAAAGTTTATGGGTCATCAGAAGCGAAAAGAAAACCATGCACATACCAAATTGTTATTTCTATACTTCTTACCTGGGTGGCCTAGCTGATAGGCCTACAGACATTCATAATTATCTAGTTGAGGATCTGGTTCTCATTCTGCTGTCTACATCTACATCCTATAGGTTAGGCTTAGAGAAGAATGAGGTTAGGGATAATTATTCCTTTCTTTTATACCCTAAACCCCTAATCATTCAGACAGATTTCTTCATTGCACCTCTGTACACAAAGACATTCATACCTCCTTCTAGAAGGAATGTGAGCTTACCCAATGGCAGACTACGGGCAGACCCCTCCTGCTTTGAAGATGCTACTGTCCTTTGTGTATCTCTTGAGTACTACTCTTTCTTCCCCAGCAAGTTTAGTAAGCCAGGTCAGTTATCATGCTTGGGGACGGTTTTCCCATCAGATTGGAAAGCGTTCCAAGCCCAAAGTGTAACTTTTTTTCACATTTTGAACCGTATTTTCCATATAAACAAATACTTGCAAATCCTGCTATATAGTAAGAAATGACCACAATTAATACGTAACGTACACTAGTGTCTTTCATTCAAAGCTAAACATAACAGTTGGGGCAAACAGTACTGTGACAGGAACATTTTAAGTCAGTGTTCTTCCATCTTTTAGAGTTAGATCTCTTTTCCCAGGGGGGCGCCTTTTATACTAGACTTTAACTTTCTTTTTCCTTTTAATTAAGGAATACGTTTTAGCTCCTTGTGTCAGGGAGACTGCCTACCTGGAGAGCTCTGTGTTCCTCTGTGATGAGCCCAGGGTTGTTTAAGAGCACGTATATTGAACTTACCAGCACGGTTGACGTGTTGCTGCGTGGGTCAGCTTGGGTATTTGTCGGTAGTGTACGGGATTCAGGTTACTAACCTTTGGAGAGTCTCTTCTTGTGACCAAGGCGCGCGCGTGGAGGAGGCAGAGGACCAGAACTATCTGTGCGAGGGCTCATAGGGATCGCTGTGGCACTCCTGGACGTTTCAAGCAGGTACAAAGGCTTCCCCCTCCCCCTCACACGGCAGGGAAGATAACTTGCTTTCAAGTCACCACCGAATACCTAGCTGGCCGCCACCGCAGCTAAGATGGCGGCGTCGAGGCGCTCCTC